AAAAAAAAAAAAAAAAAAAAAAAGGTAATATCTCATAACTCCTGTCCATGATACAGTATGTAGGAGTTCTGACAATTGGGTCTCTTTATGGTATTTCTGGTTCTGATAGTTGTAGAGTGCTGGAGTTTAAACAATAGCTGGAATCAGAACCATCACTTTTGGTCTATAATAACTGAAAACAGTTATGAAGGTTCAAAAATAGTCAGTAGAAAAAGGATACCCCAGACCCAGGTGATAATATGCAGCCTCCAGCCTCTTCCATTTGATTGGCTGGTCTCAGTGGGTGGAAACTTGTTTTGATTTCCACAGCATAATATTGGAGATTTGAAACCAAGCAAATGTCACATTCAAGTTGGCTGTGCAGGATCTATGGTGTTCTCTGCAGGGTCTCTGGTGGGATCTGAAGGATCTCTGGTGGGCTGTGAAGGATCTCTGGTGGGCTATGTGTGGTCTCAGGTGGGCTGTGAAGGATCTCTGGTGGGCTCTGCGGGGTCTCAGGTGGGCTGTAAAGGATCTCTGGTGGATTCTGCGTGGTCTCAGGTGGGCTGTGAAGGATCTCTGGTGGGCTATGTGTGGTCTCAGGTGGGCTGTGAAGGATCTCTGGTGGGCTCTGCGGGGTCTCAGGTGGGCTGTAAAGGATCTCTGGTGGATTCTGCGTGGTCTCAGGTGGGCTGTGAAGGATCTCTGGTGGGCTCTGCGGGGTCTCAGGTGGGCTGTGAAGGATCTCTGGTGGGCTGTACAGCCCACCAGAGACCCCACCCAGCCCACCATAGATCATGCAGAACCCACCAGAGAACATGCACAGCCCACCTGAGAATGACCCTGCAGAGCCCACCACAGATCCTGCAGAGCCCACCATAGATCCTGCACAGCCTATCTAGACACGTTAGAGTGGCTTTATTTGTTGGAGATTCTTAAGCAGATGGGTTTTCTATTACAATTTATTAGATGGTTGCTGTTACTTTATCATAGCTGTGTTGCTGCCATCAGGCTCGGTGGGATGCTTTCCCCCTTTTTTCCACTACAGAGGGGTACACAGCAGGGTTGCATTTTCTCCCCAGCTCTGTTTCCTATTGCTATGGAATTAACCAGAAAAGTATCTGTGCTACCCCCTAATCAAAATCACTATCAAAGCAGCTGTGCAAAAAGTGAAAAACACTATTGAGTGAGGTATAAACTTGCTAAATTGGACACGGAAGTCACTAAATACACTCCTATTTGGATTGTGGAGCACTTTTGAGTGGACATTAACACTTTGTGGACTGGATCACTTTAGTAGATGTTTTTATGTAAGTGCTGAAGCACTTTATTGCTATCACTATTCAGTAGATAGTTGCAACTTTATTAGTTATCTGTTAAGAGCACTTTAATGGATGTTTGTATATATTTATTGCTTTTTTGTCGCAGAGCACTTTAATATTATCAATCTAGTTACTTTCACTGGATACATGCTATTGCTATGGAGCCCATTGCGGAAGCTCTTAGGACCTCTCTGCATATTCGAGGTTTAAGGAAGGGCAACTTGCACAAATTGCTTCTATTCCCAGTGGATCCAGGTACCCAAAGTGTACTGATGGCTGACTCACAGTTGCAATGGGTAGATGCCTTCACTTATTTAGGAATGAATGTCTTGGGTGACCACGGTGAGTTTCTACAGTTGAATGTTTTACCTGTCCTGCAAGAGGTGAGACACAGGTACTCCTCCTGTCTCCCAGGGCCGCAGGCTAGGTAGTTATATAATTCATTTCCCCAGGCCCAATCCGAGAGCGCTGTCCGTGCTATTCTTTTGTGCTCCATCTGTGACGCGACGGCCCGGCGAGGCACGCCCACGTATGACGAGGTGGCCCGCCGAGGCACGCCCCCGTGCGTCATGACACACGACCAGTGATGTCACTCGGGCTATCTAAGCAGGCTCAACCATTGCTGAGTGATCTTCAGCCTGTGACCAGTGTTGTTTGTTCTGCTTCCTGCTCTTAGATTGACCCGGCTTGTTCCTGACCCTTCTCTGCATCCTGATTTGGCTTATACGATTCACCCTCTGGCTCCTGACCTGGCTTGTCCCTGACCACTCTCTGCATCCTGATTTGGCTAACAGCTCTCTGGCTCTGACCCGGCTTGTTCCTGACCATCCCTGGAATCCTCTGGTGGAGCACCATTCCCCACCCGGCATCCGTGCTGCTCTTGCCTGTGCGCCCCGTTTCAACCCCAGGGGTCCGCAGACAGAACCGCAAGGGAGGTCCTCCTAGTCACTTTGGGCTCGCACCACGGTACGTAACACTCACCCATACTTCTAAGGAACGTTTACCTTAATAAGAAAATACAAACCCAAATTATGATGATGATGATGTGCAAAGTGCAAAAATCTACCAATCTGAATTCACTTCTGTACAGTCAAATTCTTATTGGTTGAAATGGCATACTGATCATTGGAATTTGCCTTATTGAAAAAGCACATATATGTTAATTACCAATGGCCTACCTATTATCAGATCTCTTTCCAACACCTGTGCACTCACCTTGAAAGATGCTGCAAGAAAGGTATAAAGCTGACTGAAAGTTGGCTTATAAAGAAGATATTTGTGAGGGTTTTCTCTCTTTGTTGGCTTCTCAGCAGGGTCCTTAAAGAGAAGAAAATCTTTCAGTTTTTTTGCTCATGCACTGCTAAATCTGGTTATGCCATGTTTATGCCAGTGTAAAACAATATTTTAGAAAGATCATAAATAAAAATTAATCACAATATATATATATATCAATATA